TGATCGTATAAGTTTTGAAAAAATAGTACTTCCAGATAACGTTATTACAAATCAAAAAGAAATTAAGGAGTATTAGAAATCATTATAGCAAATGAAGCAAAGAAAACCCACCGAATCCGGACTGTCAAGAGGAATGGGAGAGTTACTATACCCTCTGGAAAAAATTGACAACAGAATATATGATCAACTAATGACGCCCTTTGAATTAGACGAACTCATTAACACAATTAATGAACAACCAACGCACAAACCGCCAGGGCCCACAGGTATCTCTAACAAAATGCTACGGCACCTACTGAAGGAAGCATCAAGTCACCTCTTGGAGCTAATAAACGCATGCATAAGATGGAAAAAGGTTCCGAAAAGATGGCTGCAATCAAGTATCTGGCTTATTCCTAAGAAAGAGTGATATAAATATGATCTTACTACCACCAGGCCAATCACACTAATTGAACATACCAGAAAAATTTTAACAAAACTGCTTACAAACCGTCTGTCTACAATTCTTTTTCGCAATGATGTCCTATCAACAATGAATTATGCCGCACTTCCCTTCCAGTCGACTCTGATGCCAATTTCATAGCTTACATCGATCCTAGAACACGCTCATACAAACAAAAGAGAACTCTGGCTGCTCTTGCAAGACATGTCGAAGGCCTTCAACTCAGTACATGTACCAACCTTACTAGAGGCCTTAAAGAGAATCAGAATTCCAACTTCCTTCATTAACCTGTTAAATTTCATCTTGTCCAACCGTACTAACCGTGTTCTAACGGATTACGGGCCTACTGACACCTATTCGGTAGAAGATGGTGTTGACCAAGAGGAAACTTTCTCGCTGATACTATGGAGAATATACTTGACCCTCTGATAAGGGGGCATCCATAAATAACGTTATATTTGAGGGGGGTCCCCAAAATATAACGATTTTTCACTATGTAGGGGGGTCCCCACCAACATAACGCAATTTTTTATTAAAATTTGTCTAAAACTTGATCCAGTGGTCCAAATTGGATGATTTTGGTACCATTCGAATCGTCGCGAGGTAAGGATTCGAATGGCATCAATTTCATTTGATTTGGAGCACTGGGTTACGTTTTATTAACGAAATACTATTGGTTATTATGTTTTCTTATAAAATTACTATAAAATCAATAGTATTTCGTTAATAAACGTGATCCAGTAATCCAAATGAAATGATTTTGGTACCATTGGATTCGTCTCATAGAGACGAATCGAATGGTACCAAAATCATCCAGATTGGACTACTGGATCATAATATATTCAAGTTTTTGTAAAATTTTATATATAAACATATGGATTTTGAAAAATTTTTTTATATAGTAGAGGGGGGGGTCCAGCGCTACTATGAGGGGGTACATAACGTTATTTATGGATGCCCCCTAACACACATCCATAATGAACATACTGGCTTCAGTGGTATTATACCTACCACACCTGCCAGAAAGAAATACAGATATCAGTAATGGCTTATATGGACGACTCCCTGTGGGTAGCTCAAAGTAAAAAGGAATTAGAGGACATTACAACCGTGGCAAACTCATTCTATAAGTTTACAGGAATACAGGTCAATACAACGAAATCCCTGTTAGTCACAAATTCCTCTACGACTGACAAATTCATAAACTTCAACGGACAACAAATAACAGCAATAGCACCTACCCAACCATTTAAATACCTAGGAGCATGGTTTTCCATAGACCCGGCCGCTCAAAGGTACAAAAAATGATCATGAGGAAGGCTAGGCAGAGCTTAGCGAAAATGCAAAAGGCACACATTACAGAGAAGCAGGCAATCTATGTAATAAATAGTATTATAATTCCCAGATTATCCTATAGGCTATACAGTGCCTACTTCACACCAAAACAGTTGGAGCTACTGATACGCGAATACATGAGTTTGGTAAAAAACAAGGCGAGAATCTCAGGAATATTCCTAATTCCTTCTTATACCACCAAGATATATACGCCCTAAAATACCTACCACAAATACAGCAATCACACTTATCATCGACTATAGTGAAAAACATCAATCATATTAATTTTGATAGATTTTTTCTCAAAATCCATCTTCAAAAGCTTCAGGGGTCAACACAATCAAATCAATCAATCCTCTATTCACCACCTCTTTTCCCTCGTAAACAATTAAAGACCTATACTGCCCAGATGGTCCTAGCATTACACTCATTAGATATACAAATTTTTCGCAATGAACATAATGAATGGCCGATCCCTAGAAAAAATAATGGTGGTACCCTGATCAATGATATCTTATTACCACATCCTAAAGCGCATACCTTGAAAGAAAAATTGAATCAACATGAAATAATTTACATCGAACAATTTCTAAACCATAATAATACAAGATTCCTAGAATGGCGAGGGTTCCATCACAACATCGGGAAGATACCAATGGGGCGTATTCCCACTTGGTTCAAAGAAATTCAAGATCTAATTCAATCAACTGTGAATCCTTCAACAGAATTTACTTGTCCCAACCCATGTACTTTGAGAAAATGGGAACGTACAGCTGGGCCTTGGGTAATCACAAACACAGCTGTGATGGGAAAAGCTAGTGAATTCACAGAAAAGGTTCTGAAAATTAAACATTATACAGAGGAGAATAATAAACCGCTAGAATGTCCAGGATACAGCTCAAAAGATCAAACAATCAAACAAAAAAGTTGTTATTTTAAACACTTCAAAGATAGAGCATTTACAATAAAAGTCAACTCAAAGAAAATAGTGCTGAGTTATCTACTGTTATTTGG